CATGGCTCTGTGCTCAGGGCTTGAACCTGGGTTGGCTACGTGTCGGGCAAAGTGCCCTGCCCCCTGTACTATCTCTCCTGCTTGGGATCTCCGTGCTCGGGATCAGAGCCAGGGCCTTGCCCATGTTTAGTCCTAGGTGTCATGCAGAACCAGCATGCCTACCCTCCGCGTGGCTCTGCAGCGCCTGAAGCTGTTTCACTGGCTTGGCGGTGCCCACCTCTGCCAGTGTGCAGTTTCCTGCTGTGGCCAGAGGCCCATGTGTGTCTGCTCTGCCTCATAAGGGACTGGCCGTGCCCAGGAAGGCAGGAGGTGTTCAGAGCAGAGCAGAGCAGAGCAGAGCAGGGCCTGCTCGTGGGAGCTGGTGAAGACCACTTAGTTGGGAACCTGCCGCTTTGTTGCCTGAAGTCGCCTGCAAACTCTTGTCAGCCAGAGGCTGCAGGCCTGGGCCATGCCAGCCACGCCGTCTCCTGCCAGCGCCCACAGACCCAGCAGGTGGGGAGCGACTGTCTCCCCCAGGAAAGCTGCTCCCCCAGGCTGGCCTTGGAGGGCGAGGGGCAGATCTCAGTCCATGGGATGGGGCAGCGTCACTGTTGGAGTTCCTTTCCCACCCTGATGTGAGGAACCAGCCCTGGGCTTACCTCTGCTACCTGAGCACCTGTCTCCCTGTTTTAAAAAGTTTTTAATTTTTAATTTACTTTTTTGGCTTCCTGGGTCACGCCCAGCAATGCTCAGGGGTTACTCCTGGCTCGTGCACTCAGGAATGACTCCTGGTGCTGCTCGGGGAACCCTATGGGATGCTGGGAATCGAACCTGGGTCGGCCGCGTGCAGGCTAAACGCTCTTCCCACTTTACTGTCACTCCAGCCCCATCCCTGCTGCTTTGCTGCATTTAGAGCTTGCATTCGTTTGGGGATTGGCGAGGTGTTTCGTCTCCCACTGTTCTCATCTCAGAAGAACTGCGTCAGGGTGGTAGCCAGGGAGGATGTCGAGGTGCTGCTCCAGTCTCCTGATTTCTCTGTTTGTGCTCCTGATTTCTTCTGGGCCTCCTTTCTCGCTCCCTTCCTCCTTCCTGCCTTCGCTCCCTCCCTCCTTTTTCGCTCCCTCTCTCCTTCCCTCTTCTATTGCTTTCTTTTCCTCTCTCTCTCTCTCCATTTCCCTTTCCCCCTGCCTTTAGTTTCGTCCCTAGATCCAGGATTTCAAATGTATCTTGAACATTTTATTTTGGTTTGGGGGCCACAGCTGGTGGTGCTCAGGGGACCAGGTAGTGCCAGGGATGACCCCGGGGCCTCCTGCATGCGGAGTCTTGACTTCAGCCCACTGAGGCATAGCTCTGGCCCTGGGCTTTTCACTTCCAATAAGGGGCTCATCTCGTGGGGCTGGAGCGATAGTACAAGGGGGAGGATGTTTGCCTTGCACACGGCTGACCCAGGTTCAATCCCTGGCATCCCACATGCACTGCCAAGAGTAATTCCTGAGTGCAGCGCGAGGACTGACCCCTGAGCATCCTGGGTCTCTCTCTCTCTCTCTCTTCCTCCCTCCCTCTCCCTCTCTCTCCCTTCCTCTTTCCCTTTCATTGACACTTTTCTAAAACCTTCTGGTTCTAAGTGCCGAGCCTTTCCCTGCATTGGGGTGGAAGGGCCAGGATTTCCCTGGGCACCCCCTGCCTCCCACCACTGCGAGTATTAAGTCTCGGGAGCTGCCCCTTAAAGGAACTTTCCAAGGAGAGAGGGTGGGGAGGCTTCGGGGTCACAAATGGGCCTTGACCTCGCCTGTGCTTCAGCCTGAGACAGCCCCTCTGCCCCCCTGCGTGACGGGACACAGTGACACCTGCAGGGCCTTTGCGTGCTCTTGGGCGCTCTGAGGGGACTGACCCAGGTTCAAGTTGCTTTGCCATCAGCCTCACAGAGGTTTGTGCGTCTCGTGGTTCTGGGGCATTCTGTCTGCAGCGACCCCGGCCCCTTCATGGAGACGCAGCCGGCGGTGCTAAGGAGGCGTTTCTGGACAGGAGAGAAAGGGAGGCTGCAGCCAACCCTCCCGGGAGCTGGACTTGCTGCCCGGGAGGGCTTGGGGGAACCTGATGGAGAAGTTGGGGAAGCCACGGTGGAGGGTGCCGGTTAGCAGGGCGGAGCGAGTGCCAGGCCTGAAACCAGCCAGTAGAGGGCAGTAGGAAGCTGCCAGCGCTTTGGATGCAAGGCCCAATGCCCGGGAAACTAGTGTCCAGAGATCCCAGAGGAAGACTAGGGGGTGGTGTGGGGCAGTGGTCAGCCTCAGCCCTCCTGGCCCACCTAAGGCCTCCCCACTGGTATACTAGGCTCCAGGGCAGAGCCAGCGGCCTGTTCAGAATCTCAGGGTTCTAGGCAGTGCCCGGGCCTGGCTGTGTGACTTGTCACAAGGCTGTGATGGCCGCACCGTCCAGGCTGAAACTGGACTCCTCCCAGGGGGCTCCCGTGGTTCCTCCCATCTCTCCGTGACCCCTGCTGTGGGGGGGCTGCACGGATGGCGGGGAGCGAAGGCAGCTGCCCACACACACACACTCTCACACCCAGCTGTCTGTCCCGTCCCGTCCCCCCCCCCCCCCCCCGCCCCGTGCGTGATATGTGGTCCTAGGAGAGTCGCGTTGCTGTGGCAACAGGAGCCAGAGGCTGAGAGAGATGCTGTTTGTGTGTGTCTTGGTGGGGATCACACCCCCCCCCCCCCCCAGCTCCCTGACTGTGCTCAGTGCCTCTTCAGTCCCTGGACTCCGCAGCCGCCCTGATCGAAGTGTAAGAACCAGAGGGAGGCCCCGCTGACCCAGTTGCTTAAGGGGAACTTGTGGGGGGGGGGCGGTTAGAGATGGTGGCCATGGGCTCCCCCCGGGTCTCGGAGGCATGAGGAGGGGCGTGGGCCCGTCTGAGCGGGCTCAGCTTCTGTTCCTGCAGGGAGCAGAGGTCAGAGTCTCCAGGCCTGGGGGGTGTGAGGCCTGGTGGAGTGTTGCCTCGAAGATTTGCTGAAGCTGCAACCACACCCCGAGGCCTGGGAAGGACTCACTTTCCAGAGAGTTCCTGCCAGGTCCCTATGTGTGTGTGGACGTCCTGCTCCACGTGGACGGGCTCCAGACTGCCCCGTGCTTCGGGTGCTGTTTTCTGCAAAGACAACCCTGGTGGCCGGCAGCGGTGGGGGAGGAGGTGCTGTGTCCCTGGTGATGGGGACGGCAGATTCCAGGGTCTGGAGCCTCCCAAGGCCCCTCACCACCTTGTCAGTCATCAGTTATTTTCCGACCACTGCAAAGGTTAAAGGTGCTGGTGTTTGCTGGAAATCTTGCATTGTTGGGGCCTGACACCACTGTGCTTCTCTGGCACTGACCTTGGTGGTCAGTCTGGGTGGAGGGAACTCGGGTGACCAGGAGGCTCTGGAGCCCGGCCAGCCTTGGAGGTGCCCTGGGGGCCATTGTAGGAAGCTGCAGCAGGTGCGTTCAGTTCACAGCCATACACGGTCCACCCCCCCCCCCCCCCCAGTGTCTCCAGGCACCACCTGGAGGCTCCAAGCACTGCCCTGCCGAGCATGACCCCAGAGGCTCCGAGCACTGTCCTGCTGAGCATGGCCCTAGAGGACCCTGGCACACCCCACAGGGCCTGAGCAGCACCACATCTCAGTTCCTTGCACTCAGCCACCCACCCTGTTGGTCAAGAATGACCGACGTGCTTCCTGGACCCCTGAGCCTTGGCTGGGAAGCCCCTCCTCACACCCCCGAATGTTTCAAGCAGTTCTGTGTGTCCGTTCGTCTGGGACCACAATGTGCCTGGGCAGGGAGGGGCGGGGGGAGGCCTTCCGGGGCTTCCCAGGGGACTCCGCCTGGGGTCTGTGTTGGGGTGTGTCCTGGGGTTGCTGGCACATGTCTGGGCACTGCGAGGGCCACTGTGATGGTGTCCCCCTCGTCTGGTAGCCCAGCCTGTGTGTCGTGTCCCACAAGGGCCTGTGGTTGTGTTTCCCCGAGTACCTCTCCCCTGCCCAGCCCTGCACTGTCCTGGGCCTGGCCTGGGCCCTGCAACCTGCCAGCACGCTTAGCTCAGACCCTTGTAGGGGCTCCAGGTGCGCTCAGCTGGCACACACACACTCCACACCGCAGGCTCACACACGAGGAGCATGTGGGAGACTGATGTGCACACAGCCCCCTCCTCCCCCCAGACACACACACACGCTCACACACAACACGCGCATACACAGACACACATGCACACAGGCACAAAGATACACACACACATAAAGATACACATGCACACACACATGCATGCATACACACACGTTGGGGAGACTGCCACCAGGCACACACATGCACATACACACGCAGACATCGCACTCAGGCAGACACAGATACACATACACACGTGCACAGACACACACATATACACACGAACACATACTCACAGACACATGCATATATGCACAGACAGATATATGCACACACACACATGCACACACATAGACATATACACACAGCCATGCACATGCGTACACATGCACACATTCACTGACACACACATATATATATACAGGCACACGCAGACACACGCAGACACACACACACACACACTCACACACACTCAGACTGCCCCCCTGGGCCCCCGTGGTCAGCACTGAGCACCACGCCCCCTCCTCCTGGGGCGCGGGGCTCCCCTGCCCGCCTGCATTTGCAACTCAAAGCCACACAATGGGGCGCTGGGGCGAGGCTGGGGGGAGGCGGTCTCCGTGCAGAGGGAGGGTCTTCGCTCCCCCCTTTCCGGAGCTTTGTGAGGATGCCGGCGGGGGGGGGGGGGGGACGATGACGTCACCGTGTCACACACGGGAGCTCGGTCCGGACCCGGCGCGACGGCAGCAGCAGCGGCCGCGGCGGCGCTCGCAGTCCAGCACCCCGGCCGAGCTTGCGGCGCGGACCGGGCCCGGCGTCGTCGTGCCCGCGCGCCCCGCGCGCCCCCCGCACCCGGACCGCGGCCCGCCCGCCGCGCCGCCCCGCCCGCCGCCGCGCCGCCCCCCGGATGCCCGCAGCCGCCGGGCTCTGCAGTGCCGCAGCCCCGGCCCGGCCGGCCCGCCGCGGGCCGCCCGCCGGCTCGCCAGGGCGCAGCGACGATGGGAGGGTCGCAGTCCCTGCAGCCCGTGCCCACCAGCGACCTGAGCCTGGAGGCTTCCGAGGCCATGTAAGTGCCCGCGGGCGCCCGCAGCCCCTTTGTTACTGTTGCAATTCCTCGTGCCGCGGTTGCCTGCGGTCGGCCGGGCCGGCGGCCTCCACCCGGCGTAGCGTTTCTTGCTTCCTCCTCTGGAATGTGCCTCTGGCAGCTCCCGGGGAGGAAACAGCCCTCAGGAATCGGACCCTTCTGCATGCAGAGCGGTGCAGGGTTTGGGGGGGCTTCACCTGCTGCCAGGATCTCCCTCTGCACCCGTGCGCTGAGAGTGGTTTTCCTGCAAGGGACCTTGCCCGAATCAGCAGCTGCCTGGGGAAAAGCCCAGACCCCATCAGCCCCGGGCAGGGGGCTGGTCAGTCCCTGGAGACAGGCCCCGCTAGGGTAGCCACTGGCTGGGCTCGCCAGATGGCCTGGACGCTGCTGGTCTGTGAGCCCAGGCTGGAGCCGCTGGCTCTGGCCTCCTGCTATTATTAGACAAGCCAACCGGTCTCACCATTGGTCCACTGGCCGGCCGTGTTGAGCTGCAGATGGGTCCAGGAATCTCATCTTTCCTCCTAGCCCAGGAAGTGGGTGTGCTCAGAAGCAGGCCCCTACCCTGATGGGCGTTCATTGGGGGGAGGAGAGGTCCTCTCCCTCACCTCCCTGGGCCTGCGTGGGGGATGGGATGGGGCTCTCTGTGGCCGGCTCACGTTTCAGCCAGTTCCGTTCCCATCGGCTGTAGGCTGTCCGGCTGTAGGCTGTCCGCTCTCCTTCCCCCAGAGGGGAAGGTTTCGAAGAAGAGGCTGTTCCCGGGTGGGGGGTGTGTTGGGGGTGGGTAAAGCGAGGGGATCCTGAGTCACTGGTGTGTGGAGGCCGGGCTGGCCGGGATTGGTCTGTGTGTTGTAGTACGGTGGGGTGCCATGCGGGGCTTCCTCGCCGGTCCCCACGCCTGGGCTTCCATGGGGAGCTGGCTTGGCGCCGTGATGTCATGTGAGGCTGAGATCTCCTGGTCTCGGGGCTCCATCTCTTCAACCACAGACCAGCCCCGGGAGCAGGTGTGCCCCGGATCGATCGATCGTTCATCTCCGACCCCCGCCCCTGGAGAGAGCATCAGCTTTCACTAGCGACAGGAGCCTCGCCTGGCTGTTTTTTCTTTTTTTTTGTTCCTGGGCAGCATTGTTTGGTGCTTGGAAACACACAGTCCCCGCATGACTCTGGCCTGAACAGAGAAGAACAGCTTCAACCCTTTTTTTTTTCCTCCCCCCAAATAGCTGGAAATCAGCTCATCGGGGGCAGGAACCAGCTCCCCCACCCACCAACGGGCTGCCAGGGCTCAGCGTCCCCACCCGCTGGGCAGCTTATAGGCCTGGGAAGGGCCGGGTGGTCGGATGGGGCTCAGGATGCTTTTTGAGTCACTGGAGATTCAGTTCGCTGGTCCCCTCTTTTGCGTGGCTGAGTTTGGAGCCGGTCTGTTGGGTAGGAGCCTCCTTTGGTGGGGGGGAATCCAGAACCCCCAGACTTCTGCCCCCAGGGGCTGCCTAGTGGTGTTGAATATTGGGGCCGATGGAGGCGGCTTTGCCAACGCTGCCTGGCTTTGCTGCTCAGGCTTCCCTCGGGCATCTGAAGTGTCTCAAAACCCAGATCCAGATGGGAGTGTTATCGGCTCACGTGAAATCCCCCCCTCCATCCCCGAAGCTTTTTGTGTTCAAACAGTGAGCAAGAAATGTGCAGGGCTGGTGCCATTGTGCCGGGCACTGCTCTCTGCGCCTTGTCTCTGTTTCTGCGTTCGCAGGACAGACCGCGTTTTGGGTTTTGTTTTTGGGCTCCAGAGTTGCTCATTTCAAGCCCAGAGATTCGGAGGCAATGTCCTCAGCCAACACCTCTCTTCTGCTCAGGCACGTGTCTGATAACGTGGGACATCCACGCTCCTAAGAGCACATGTTCGGCACCACCCACGGGGTCGGTCGTGACCCTGGTCCGGGGCAGGAGAGAGATTTCCACTGTCAGAGGGTGCGGGGGCTGTGGGGCTGGAGTTGGCCTCGGGTGCCGCCGGGACAGTGATGGGGACTGCGGGTTTGGCAGTGCCGGAATACGTGTATTTTTAGTCCTACTCTAACTTTCTTCTGGGACTCAGGTTCGGGGTGCCTGTACACTGCTGGCTTTGTTTGGATAGAACTTGGGTAAACAGAGGAGAGAGGGAGGGAGGGAGATCAGACAACCCACCCCTTTGGGGTGGGTGTCCCTTTGGGGAGCAGACACATAAAGATGGGGGGGGGTTGAAGGTCGGTGGAGTGGACCTGGTGGACAGCACTCTGCATTCTTCCTTCCCTCGATGGACTAGTTAGAAATGAAGAATCTCTTACACCTGGGTGTCCCCTCCCCTGCCCCTCCCAGCCCTGCCCAATGAACCCACATCTCTGTTTCATCAGTGTCTGGGGCGATTTTGGCTTTAGGGGGTCTCACTGGGTGCTGCTCAGAAGTCCCACCCAGCTTGGTCACCTGCGGGGACCAGGCAGTGCTTGAGCCCAACTGGGGCTTCCTGCATGCAGAACCCATGCCACAGCTCCAGAACCTTCTCCCCAGCCCCTATCCTGCTGTGGGTCACAGATCAGGATGGCAGGGCTCACCTGTGAATGGCCTCAAGCTGGTGGAGTTGCTCCGTGCCAGACCCCGGGCACTGGGGCCGACTTCTCCCCTGCCCTGCCTGGGAAGGCTCTGCGGGCCCCAGAAACGCTGGTTTCGAGATGGAAATCGGGGTGGGGAGAGAAGCAGAGGGAGCCCAGTGCGACTCAGCCCAGGGGGAAGGACCCCCTCCCCAGGGACACAAGCCCCAGGCTGGAGAAGACCCACTTCCTGTCTTCTCCCTGCAACCCCTCAGGCTCGGTTTCTGCCAAGTGAGGCAGCCCAAGTTACTTTGTGCCATCAGAATGGGGTTCTGGGGCTCCCCCACCCCACGGCAGCCCAGGGAGCGTCGGACCCTCTGTGGGCTGCTCCCTCCTCATGCCTCTTGGCCCTCACTCGGGCCCGCCACTGTGGTCCCGTGGCAGCCCCCCCAGATGGAGGAACCCCTCAGGGCGGCTCACCCCTGGAGAGAGGCCTGAGCTCAGAGATTTGGGGGCAGGGGGGTTGGTGTGGACAGCTGGGAGCACATCGGGGGGTGGTGGTGGCTGAAAGAGTGGCCAGGACAGGGGAGAGGTTGGGTGTTTCCCGGGAGGGGTGTAATGGGGGCACCCCTCCCACCGTCTATGACTGCAGGCAGTGGGATTGCGGAAACTTCCAGCCTGGGAGCTGCTGACTCGGATCTTGCACCCCCTCAACCCTCCCCCCCCCACACACACACATACACCTTCGAAGTGAGGTGCCACTGGGAAGAATCACAAGACAAAAGCACCAGACAGTGGCAGAGAGGGGGACACTCTGTCCCGGCGGTGGGATGAGCAGAAGACTGACCGGCTGGGAGTTGGCCCAAGGGGCTGGAAGGTGTGCTAAGCCCAGGGTTCGATGCCTGGCACCTTGTGGCCTATGGAGCATGGCCGGTGTGAGTTTCCCAGTAGCACTGGGTGTTTTGTCCCGAACAAGGACAAAACTGAACAAGGCCCCAAAGGGCTAAAGGGCTTTCCCGCTCCAGACAGGAAGTGCCTCCTGGCCGAGTGACTGACATTCCTAGTGTGGGGTGGGACGAGTACAGTCCCCCTCAGCTTCTGGGGACAGAGCTCCCTGCATGAGGGCAAGGTGGGGGGGGGGCTTCTTCTCCCCACAGATGCTGAATCAACACCCCAGAAGAACCTACTCATGGTGACCTGATCAGGACAGACTGGGCTGCTGAGACTAGGGGTCTAAGATCAGGCTACCGGCAGACCTGAGCCTGGGAGGGCCTACCTGGGCTGGGGAGGGCCCTGCAGAAGGTTCTAGAAGCCTCTGGTGCCACCGCGAGGCTCCCATCTCTTCAGTTCCCATGGGCCCCACTACCCCATACCATCTGGAGTTCAGGGCTCGGGTTTGCAGCCGAGACATCCGGGGGACACAGGGGTGGATGTTCCCCAACTGTCAGGGTCTCTCCAGCGCGACCCCCCGCCAGGCTCAGGTGCTGGCCCTCACGTGTGCGAAGGGGTACTGCGGTGCTCAGGTGCTCCTGGCTCTGTGCTCAGGACTCAGTCCTGGTGGTGCTCAGGGGCCCTTCTGCAGTGCTGGGCATTGAACCCAGGTCCGCCACGTGCATGGTAGGCGCCTTCCCTGCTCTGCTCTCTCTCTCCAGCTCCAAGGCCCTGCTGATCACCAGACGCATGGGCGGGTGGCTTCCACCCTGAGCTGCAGTTGGGGCTGGGAGGCAGGCCTTAAGGGTCTCATCCCAGAGACCCCCCTGGTCCCCTCAGCCTACCTGCCGCCCCCAGGGTTCTGGTGCTGTGGACTAGTGGAAGCGGGTCCCGGGTCAGGAACGGGGCTTCCCCGTGTGTCTAGCTGGGATCCAGGAAGAAAGGGCAGCGGGTCCCAGACTCCGTGGCTGGAAGCCGCCTGCGTGCCTGTTTGCTGGCCGCTGTCCCTCCGCAGCGCTGCCCTTCTCCCCCGTCTGTCCAGCAGCGTGTCTTGGTCCATCTCTTGCTGTCCTCATTTCCTTCTCTTCATCCCAGCCAGGGAAGGAGGCTGCGGCCAGGACAGTGCAGTCAATCGCCTCTGTTCCTGCTGACCAGGAACCTGGACCACACGTGGGCTTTCAGGCCATGCAGGGGCCAGTGGGCGTGGGTGGGGCCAGCCCTCACTGACCTGTGGGTGTGGCGAGCTCCCAGCAAGTTTGACACCTGCCTGGGCTCCTTATTTGGTTTTTCTTTTTTGCTTTTTGGGTCACACCCGGCGATGCACAGGGGTTCCTCCTGGCTCTGCACTCAGGAGTTACTCCTGGCGGTGCTCAGGGGACCACATGGGATGCTGGGAATCGAACCCGGGTCATCCGCGTGCAAGGCAAACGCCCTACCCGCAGTGCTATCTCTCCAGCCCATGGGCTCCTTATTTGGACAGGCTTCTCTGGGGACCAGTGGCAA